ACCTTAGTGCTCCGGAGGATGAATCTCTCTGGATATCCATTCTTGACCCCACGCTAGTAATCCTTCCTAGCCGAGAAGGCATTTGAGAATTTCGAGGTAACCTCAAAAGTAACGATGGTGCGTTACTAAAATTAGCAGTCAAATTTAGTCGCCGAAAGACAACACTTTTCTCTCGTGGTCAAGTTTTACTGTAATCTGGTACGCGCAAATTACCATCACCTATTTTGGGGAGACGCTGCGGCCAACCCCGTATACAGCTAGTTGAAGCAATCACTGGGCCTCGTGGTGCAACAGCTGAAAGCTGGAAGCTAGGTGGAGTTGCAGATGCAGGACCCTGAACTACACCTAGACGCTCCTCATGTATGTCAATCGATCACATAGGGGTGGCTTCGGACGCGCCAGCCACCTGCGCCCGATCCCACCTCCTTGCCTGTGTCTTGAAACCGGGCCCAGGTGGGTGTGGAAAGAGAGTGCGTGGTAGATGCTGGGAAAGTCTACTATCATTTAAAACTAATCCATGCGTGAGTCGCCGTCCTACGCCGCCCTGTTTTTGAGCATACGGCGGACATCTTCGAAATCGACAGTCGTAGTGCGTCAGGACTGCGCAACCATCTGACTCCGACAGTGTGACAATGTTAACATAACCGGATAGGGGCTCGGACACACTGATTTGAGAAAGCTAAACATCCACTCTATGCGTACCACACACATGACCCGATCAGCATCCAAGGCTTTTGCGATAATGGATCAGACAGAAAATGAGTGAGTGCGAAAGAGGTCACATTCAGGAGCCGTTGCAGCTTGGCCCTCAGTCCCGAAGTCATCTGGTCAGTGGACAGCCCTCCAAGGTACGTTTTCAGTACGAACTGGGAGACTCAATCGCCTCCGATTAATTATAGTGTGGAATGCCGTGAGGATAGACTGGGAGGTAACGATTGACTCCCGTTGAAGGCCACATCCATGTGCATCTACTCCCTCACTTGCTCCTGTGGAGCAGGATACATTGGCCGAACAACGAGGCACCTGGAAAAGAGGGTACGTGAACATGTGCCGGCCTGGTTAATTAAAGGTGAAACTAAATCGATCTCGAGCTCTATTCTCGCACACCTTGTCGATATGAATCACCGAGTCAATACTAATGAAGTCTTTCAGGTTGTCTACCGGACACTAACCAACTTCTCCAAAGGCCTACGCCAAGGGGTGCTTGCAACAGCTGAAGCAGTGGCTATATGGCTAACGAATCCAGTGCTGTGCTGTTAGAAAACGCTAACACAAGCCTTTTCCCTTTCGTAGCCGACGCCAACGCCAGGTGACGATCACACATTACCCCCCCCCACCCACTAGTGACTGTGGCTCGCTTCATATAAATGACAGTGATCACTCTGCACCTAACCCCTGACCAGTGTCCACAACCTAACCTAACAGGCCGATTTCGCCTACTGACACAGACTGACATAGTCCGCAGTGGCAAATCGACGTCCACGTCAGACAGTTATTGATTCTACTACACGTTTAAACTTCAATTGTTTTGCAAAGGTACTGGCCTGGTGAAGGTTTGCCGAAAACATATTTGCCAAAACTGACTTTTCAAATTCAAACATGGAAATATTTGCAGAACCAACCAGATTATTCATCCCGCGTTAACAGGGGGGGAGAGCTTGGAAAATGAGCGCTTCAAGAAAAAAGAGAAAATATATTTTAGCACTTAAAAAAGCTGCCCAAGTCGAGCAGGGTGAGGGGTAATGCGGGCGAAGAGTCGGAGCGGAACCCCGCCATTAGAAAATCACAGGTTGTCCGGATATACATACGTATGTACATCAATTTACCGCGATGAGAGACCGAAGTGTCAAATGCTTCTTTAGAATTTGAAAAAGCACTACAAAACGGTCAACCATCAGAGATCTGGGGAGGAAGGAGAATGAAGTGTGCAGGTGGGGGGGGGAGGGGTTTATCAATCACAGGCTGTGACAATCACCAAGTTCGAAGGTGAGGACACACGGGTCGGGCAGGGGTGATGCGAAGATGCATGGCCATTGGCGACCAACGTCACGGACAAGATAGGCTTCGTCCCTGCTGTCGAGATCGGTGGCTCCTTGAGAAGACGAACACTACCCTTATCGTCGAAATTGTCAAGGGGCGCCTTCTTCTGCTGCTGGTCCTGGAATTTTGAAACGACGTACATGGCGGCTCCGATTGTACTGTAGACGAAAGGCAGGCAGGGGAGTCAATACAAAGAATGAATTCTGTACGCCGAGAATCTCTGGTACCACAGGCAAGAGATACCCACGAGTACTGCAATCTCAACTCCCTGAAACCTGACTCCAGCGCACACATATATACAACTCCTCTTTTTTGTTATCTTTTTCAAGAAACCGAGCAAAGTAATGGAGAGGGCTCTATTGATGGACGAAGGGGCAGCCAACTATGGCCACGGACACCACGTACGGGAAAATACGTAGCATATGCGGCCGGAACGGAGTGCTTGTCAGCTCAGCATGGTCTGTGCGTACAGGACGTTTCACGTACAGAATATCACTAGCCGAAGTGGCCACTTAAACGGCAGATTACTAGAACACCCCCGCCCCCTCTACCTTCGAATACCAGTTTCACTACAACCAATGAGAAGAAAATAGATTAATGCTGTTGTCTTCGGCTGAACAATCTTTGGAATTCTCCACGTCCATCTCCGGCGAAATGCTCTCTGATCTACCTGCGATTGCTCCCTTCCCGGTACAGCACGGTCCACCTCCCCTGATCAATCCCTTTACCC